GTAAAATGAGTAAAAGCAAAGAAAAACACTTATATAGGGATTCTGTCCGGATGCAGTATAACACACCTCAAAGTCTGATAAGTTCATGACTGAAATAATGCTGGATATAGCGAGCGTACGTTTACTGTTCACATGAGCTGAGACCGTAATCGTCAGATAAAGACAGTTTGTTACTATCTTAGCGAAAGAGGTAATTGCAGGTTCTAAACCTGTATCATTTACCCATTCGGATAACTATCTGCACCTTGAACTTGAAGTTAACGAAGTATTAGCAAACTACTTATTCGTTAGGGACGCTCCAGGCAAATTTGCCTCAATTCAATATAAAATTTAAAAAAAAACTTCGTATAACAATGTTAGGCCAATACACCAACTGCTACGAGAATGGAAATACTAATTTTATGAAGCTTCCTCAATTTCCAGGTATGAATATTTGAACCGAACACTTCCCGCTGAAATTGGAAATATAAATGTATTGTTAACATATACGAATCGAACAATGACGATTCATCAGTATGCTCAGACTTTCAGTCTGAGCATACTGATGCCATTTACCACGTCTGCAGCTTCTTGGCCTAGAGTTCCCTCTAAGACTGCTGATGCGGTAACTACGCTGAACTTGAGCGTCTAGTTCCATTGACGAAGTGCTTCCAAGAACAGTTTTAAGTTGACTTAGGGTAGTAGAAAATCCACAATACGCGATTTACTTTTCAAAAGTCGTTCGTATCCAAGAACGAGAAGGCAAAATAAGAGGTGAAAGATCAGCATCCTCCTGTCCCTTCTTCCCCTGTATAATGTTTAGCAAAGTTTCAGTCGAATTCGATTCCTTAACACTCAACAAATTATCATTAATAAGTTTCAACTTAATTTACTTATATATTTTGTATTTGTTTAGCTGTAAGGTTGCAGAGAAGACGCGTAAACAGGCGTTCGCGACTTTCGTCTCACAGAAAGTCTAGCCCTTCAAGAGTAGAACCATGGAGCGTGTTCGCATTGCTATGCCGTGTCCCTTATCTTATCGAAACCGACCGGATTACTGAATATTTTATCTCCGCAAGTTTTTCTTCCAGCAGTGGCTGACTCCTTTGTTTTTACAGCCTAGTGTAACATGTCAATTTTCGGAAAGTGAAACGAAATAGTGCGTTTTAACAGTCTAACCATGATGGGCCAATACACAAAAATAATAGTAATGTTAACAACTTTCATTGTAGCTATATCTAAAATAAGCCGTTGTGATTAACGTTAAAGGACCTACCAACGTTTTAACAAGACAGAATCATTTGATCACAGAACAATTTAATTGTGCTTCAATGGTAAAACGTGACAGTATTTACAAAAATACTAAATTAATAAAGTAGCAGATTCAACTGTTACTAATGCTACGCTAACGCCCAATGAAAGGATCGACTATCTTGTGTGAAGGGCTCCTCTTATAGCAGTGAAGTGTTTATTATATATATTTATCGTTTTTGTATACAAGCAAAGGAAACACGTTCTAAAAGAGTGGCCGACACCGGAAGTGCCTCGGAGGCTATAGTAAGGTCTTCAGCTCCTTTTTCTGGCAATTTGTCATCTCACAGTCACTACTAAACCCTACATGAAACATCGAATCTATCCCGTTGAACGCCACTTGAATGCTGTGGATGGTTTCAATGACAACACAAAACAGGTTGACGATGCAAATGTTTCGCTGACCACGTATGGGGCACCCACAAATAGACTACGTCCACACAGTGGAAACGTCTGAACGTATTTCTATAAACATATTTGGCGAAGCGAATGTGAGTAAGGTGCTCAGCAGCCAGTCAACAGTCAATAGTAATCCCTCGCGCGTCTGGGTAACAGCTGACACGTCTCCAAAATACAACACGCATCTCGACTAAGAAATTTCTCGGAAAAATTCTAGGCTTCCAGGTTAAAATTTTCGGTGCTGTACACGAAGCGAAACCAATTGAATTAAAGGTGGCGAGAAAGTCAACGCTGAAGCAACTATAGGTCGAGACATCTGCCTGATCAGTATCAGTGAGCCGTGTATTTTAGGCCCAGTACAGGGACATTTGGCCGGCAAATTACACGTCTATGTAGAGACGTTAATCTGTTATGTTTTACATGAGTTTATAGATATGTATGTTCGGCTTGATGGTGAGAGGTTAAGCGTTTCTGGCGTGTTGCAGTTGACATAATACGCTCGTTTTTTTGGCTTTTCTAAACAATGACTTTATAACGTAGACATATACTAGAGGGATAAAGGAGAGCTTCGCGAAGATCATAACGTACACTACGCATCATTTTTTTTTATTAAAGAATGAGCCTATTAGCTACGATTTAATTCTATTTAGAATTGAACCTAAGTCACTACAGTGGTTAATAACGATCGCCGAAACAAAGTCAAACGCAACTTAAAAACCCTTTCCATACGTTGACAATTATAAGCGACTATTTTCGTCACAACTGGCGACAACTGAGCTCTTAAGCCATATTATTAACCTAGATTTGCGAGGTTATCGGCCAAGTTGTCGCTTCCGATTCCTGCATATATATCTTTCCATTCATAGCGTATTTCTCCGTACGCAAAGACTACTAAAGATATTTAGTGAAAATTGGTCAGCGTTCGGGGAATAGTCGATAACTGACAGAAGGTGAAGGATCAGAACAATGTGTACCGCGTTCCGGATTCGTCAGAACCCACAATCGGCTGTATAATTGACTGTCTGAATGTTTCTTTACGAGCTGAAAAACAAGAAACTAAAAACATTGGTTACTTCTGATATGAGAAAAATTACGGTGAGAGTATGATATGTCAGTGTGCGATAATCATATAGCAGGAATAACCTTATCCGTTGTAAATCTCAATAAAAAATATTCGTGTTAAACGAATCTTTTCAACCATATATATATATATAACCAGCCTAGTATAAGGATACATAAGCTGTTAGGAAAGAGTGTTTATATTTAGAAAAAAACACACGTAATCAACAAAAAGTCTTGAGCGAAGGTACTGTTAGTACGAGTAAAGCGTATCTGCGCCCCGTATTTGAACTTAGAGAACCGGACCTGTCCTTGTCTTCAGTAGACAAATACGTAACTACGCCATCATGAAAGCCACTTTTACCATAAACCTGTAGCAGATTGACGTACTTTGGCATTATAAGTCCATTTTGGCCCTATCATCTATATAACATGTCATTGTTTATACATACGTTTGTATTTATCTTATAAGCCCGTACTTTGGCATTGTAAGTCCATTTTGGCCCTATAATCTATATAACATGTCATTGTTTATACATACGTTTGTATTTATCTTATAAGCCGGAACTTATGCGTATTGTGTCATCCTAGTATACTCTGGCCAGTACATGCTTTCTTGGCACCTAAAAATATATTGCTTTTATTTTTCAGTCTGTCCATATACAATAAATACGTTTTACCAATAGGTAATGCCTTTTTTGCTTATAAAGCTAATACCTTTGTGAGATAATACTTTTGTCATTCAAGTTGCTACGGTTAGGTGGGCGATGCCCTTTGCACGCAAATATCATTGAAATACTTTCGTTTTTTATTATTGGTAGAGAAAAAATTACGTTCTTGAAATGAACCGCTCTAATTTTCATAACGTACTATTCCTATCCATCTTGTAAGCATCAAACAGAGCATATCGAAAGTGCTCGTAGGAGCGCAACATGCTTAAAGCGATCTATTCTAGGGATTATTGCAAAAATTTGGGAAAAAAACGTTCTTCATCAGTGCTGAAGGAAAATTTAACCCTTTAAGGATTTTTCGATTTAACCACTTTCGTCCTTTATACAGCTAATAATTCGACAACGCGCCGGTTAGCTCTCAAGCGAAATCGGGACTGTGGATACCTTCGCACGATAAAACGAATATTTGTCTGACCTCAGACTTCGCTTTTACAATCCTTCCATTTTCTTTCGGAAAAACCCTCCCCACCCCCCATTCTTCTAGATTTCCTCCTATCATTTGACGGCCATGGGCATTCCAGTCCCGTGGGAAACGCGTTTTTGTATCCAACTGCCTTTTACGCATTGCAAGAAGCAAGCCTCTTATAAACATTTTGCTTTAGGCAGGGGCGTCTCCTTATGCTTTTCCCTAACATCACTTACCAGCTTATCTTATGGACTCGTAGCAGCTTTAGCGCCTCCAAGGGCGCTTACTGTAGAAGGATCCGGAAACAAAGCAAGTGCTGCTATTACTACTGAACTGGCCCACGGCTGGCGGCCGTGAAGTCGTTGCTAACTAGCCTGAGGCTGCAGCAGAGATGGGAAAGTGCAGCTGTTAGAAAGTACTTGATGCGTGCTTTTCCTGATCCTATAAGTTCCAATGGGTCCCTCAGGAGATGGCTGTTGTTCTACCCTTTTAATGGTGGTAACAATGACGGCAACAACAGCTGCGGCGGTATGACAAGACCTGCGCAAAAAGATGCCCACAAGCTGCTCAACCCCTACAACCGGGCAGCTGCCCGTGGATGTTTATTCGCGGAGGCAGTTGTTGTACTTATCACTTCAAAGCTTTATTGTCATGTCCTCAATGTCCTATAGCCAGGCCGGCTAATTTATATACACATATCGATGCATACAACGCTTGCATACAAGGGGGCTATGCCCACATGATATTTATTGGCGTATCGGTCCTTCTCCGCTTGTTCACAAAATTGTATTACGTATTTTTGGGTATGTAAAATTAGCTTGCCAGTTCCCATAACGTGTTTCACTCTTTTTCTGATAGTGTACTATAGGCATCTTTGGTGGCAGCACTCGTGCGAACATCGGTCCCTTTTGCCTTCGTTCTCTTGGTTAACGGTAAATGACGTGTACCATACGTAGGCCCCTCTAAGACTGTCTGCGTGCTCAGTTTTGCCTCTCCAGAAGGAAAGGGTATGTATCCTAGGAGAGGGCGAATCACCGCATCGCCCGTCACAGAAGATCCCCATCCTCAGTCAGAAACCGGAGGTGGCCAGCACGGGATGAAATGGGTGCCACGTGCCGACGCCACGGATAATGTGAAACACCGTATGCAGCAAGATACCAGCACACTACCTAAACGCTACATGTCCAAAAAGAGCGCCAACGTAATCAACAATAACAATAACAACAACAAGTCACGGCCACATCGAACGGTTTTTACCGTTCGAAAACAGCAATAACACGAACAATAGCACCAAGTAACATTCATAACCACGTCTGTTACCTTTGTTGATTTTCATTTCGTCAACAACAGCACCAAAAACAAAGACAATGAGTGATTTTTTATATGCATTAGTCTGCTAAGCGAAGAGCAGTCGAGTGTAATACTGGCGTGACGTTTTGCCGAAATGGAGGCTGGACAGCTTGAAGAGTAGAGCTGAATGAGCAGCGTCAAGCTCTAACAGCAAGCGATGAGTTGAATAAAAGCAGCAGGGTGTAGGGCGACGAGCCGCCCGTCGCCACATGCAAAAGCCACCAAGTCAATCACGGTCGTGATCGATAATAGAGAATCGTATAGCTTGGTCGGTTTTGACAGTTTGCTTTTGCACCACGACCAGGCACACGGTGGATCACTCAGTGCACGATGAGATCCAGCTTCAGAGGGCTTAAGCTCGTGGCTCCGTTTCTTATAGCTCTACTTGTCAACGGTCTTGTCAACGTCCATGGTGAGTTGATTTGTATATATACATCATACTGATGACTAATAGATTTTCAAGGACCACATTTCATTTTCATTCGTTGATTATTCATACGTTGCTGTATCAATTTACGTACCCAGGACGTGTAAGATGCACCAGGAAATGACAACCGCTAGTATTTTCAGTGACGCACCACTTCGTGCCGTCTTTGTTGCCAACATCCATCAGAAAAAAAAAACCAATGGACATAGACAGATGGTGTAGGTATCAGTGTTTAAACGATACGATTTAGTGCTATTTATAGACACCCGCAACTAATGAAATTTATCCGTCATTTAGCTTATTTCGCCCATTGGTTGCACTAGCTTGCAACATCGCGTCTGTTCTATCGCGATTCGTTGTTATCACCATAATCTACTGCTATTACTGCAATAGTAACCTAAGGATATGCGTAGCAACTGCAATGAACTCTCTAATCTAATCTGCTGCTGTCAGAGTGCCAGCGGCGATCAGAGACATTAGAGATCACCTAGTGACAGGCAAAGGTTTGGCTTTTTCTCCTTGTTCGTTATGTTCATCCGATGCCCCAGGTTCCTATACGCTGATTTTTTTGTCAGCGTAAGAGCACAATGTCTCTTGGCGTCTGCCTTCCTAACTTCCGTGTCAGCTTTTTTTCATCCTTCGAAAGACGGCTGGTTCTAATGTAAAGGTGGCGGTGATCTCGATCGTTATAGGTTTGCTCGCCTATAAAACTTATCGACAGTTCTTCTGCCGTACAATTCGCCTCCTTATTCAAAACCATGGTATTCATAGCTCTTTGTCGACGTCTACGCCTTGTTATTTCTCGCAGTTTTCGAGAACGGGAAACGTTAAACGGTGTGTTCTTTTCCGCTGTTTGCTTCGCGTAGAAACTTGCTCTCCGCCAAGTGCGTCGCCACGAAGAGGTCACCAACTTGCTCCTATCTATTCCATGTCAGTTGGAACACATTTACTGTCAATATATAGAATACGAATCGTCGAAACTTGTATTCCTATGCTGTACTCCTTTTGTTCGTAGTTGACTATCTGCGTGTGCTTCATATACGTAGTTACCGGTCCCCGACGTCATCAGATATCACTCTCACAGTAACCAATGGGACATCGTTTCTTGCTGTCACCCTCGTTTTAACACTGCGCAACTATATAGACGATTGTCGCCAAATGTGAAAATAACGGATATGCCATTTCTTTGGTTTTGTCGGTTAACTTTGAGATGGATTGCGTTCGTGTCCTGTTCGTCTAGCAGAATCATTTATTTCAATTGAAAGGCTCAAAAAAGACGTTTTCGACAAGAGCCTTACTGGAGGCGAATTACAGGACGGTCATTTTGGTGGTACTCTTTAGGTGGTCGCCTATGGCTGGCGGAACACAGGCATGTCCTTCTCGCCGAACGCTAGCCGGCCTGTTCTTCTTATTGGCATACGCTCATAGATAGAGCTCGTTTTCCTAGCGAGTCCCTTACGTGAATGCTGCTAGAAAACGACTCCGTCTATTCTATATATTCTCCACGAACTGCGCTTGGCAGCTATGGAAGGATCCATCCGAGGGCTGCAGGCACACCGCAGCGTGCCTGTCTGTGCGCTCGCTGGTGACGGACACCCTCGCCGTTCATTCGACCAGCTGTTAACGTTAATTCCTCTAATTTACCAAATGTCTCAAAACGTTCATTAGGTCGTTATATGTTACTGATTTGCGTAGTTTTTATGTAGACCTCTCTTTGTGCGTGTTTATATGTTATAGTTATTAATTAAATGCGGCGGTTGCTGAAGTTCTAGGCTGTATAAGAAAAGCTCGCGCACGTTGTGTCACCTGCACAGATAGATGTACACTAGAGAAGGAGGATTAACTGTTACGAGTGAAGTAAATAGCGCGTATGTGATCACAGTGTATATATACGTACTTCTTCGCACCGCAGAAACTATTTTTGGCTTTACGAGCTACCAACAGATTAGACAGTACCTTAGACGGGTCCATTCAAGTGGCTATGTCATAAGAGGTATCGTATTCACCAGTAAACTATGCTCGAGACCTTCCTTAATAGCTTTCTAACAGGGAGCCTATAGTAGTTTTGTTCAAAGGGTCGAGAACTTTACATAATCTTCTTAGAAAAACCACTGGTAAGGTGATAAGTTAAGCTCAATAAAAAAAAACTTCGTTCTACTTGCCAATGCTGTGTCTGAGAGCTATTAGAAATTTCTATTATGTGAATATGAATTTGATAGGGAAAGGCCCAGCACAAATAGTCGAAAAGGTCATTGTTCTTCTAAACGATTTACACTTGACACTTCCGTAGCTACAAGCTTTTGATTTACCATGTTTTTCAGTGTAACCAAAGGACGCCCGAGCTGTTCCTCCGATGTACCCAATGTGTTTATATCCCATTTACATATTTGGCAAGAATAGTCATAGCAGAAAATGCCTCGACATACAAGTTCTGCGACGTAAACACTTCACGATTCAACAAACATTTGCAGACCTATCGTGAAGCCAATTGTGTGGGGATGGTTATCGCTCTATACAACTATAACAATTTTTTCGAAAGTGAGGATAAGGGGCACTGATGAATCTATACGTGTCCTGGTAAATAGTTGCACATTATGCGCGAGCAGGCCGTTTCCTACTTATGTCAAAATTTATACGAGTCTTAATTAAATGCAGTTAGTGTTATAATATCCCATATAGTTAGCCATTATCAAAAGCAAACAGCCGTAGACAACCATCTATATCGATATATATCGATATAAACCGAAAAAATACAATATCTAGATCGATATTGTTATTTTTTCGGTACTACTCCCTCTCTGCCCTTCTTGTTTCCGCTATCCAAGCTTTTTTGTCCTGCAATGAAATGTTTGTCCTGTTGTTCTTTTTGCCAACCTGAACAAGCGACTAACTCTACGATGACTAACCACGACTAGACTAAACTGGGTGTTGGCTTATTCTCATTGTATTTTGGTGGTCTTTTTTTTTTTTGTTATATGATTAAGGACAAACTCAGAATGACCTATTCACTCACCATCGGAATTCAGTAATAAATTGTAATTGGTTCACTTGCACCCGAAATTAAAGTTTTAGCTAAAAAATGTAAGTTAAATTCTACATTTTTGTACAGGCCGATTGATTCGTGGCTATCCACCAAAAACGGACCGAAAACCGTTGCGGTATATACAGTTAAGATTTTTTATTGAACTTGAAAGTAGAATGATATTAATCTGACGGCCAAGGTCGAGGGCCTAAACTGAAAGGTCAATATTAAAAGCACTTCGTATTATCACTTTGGTGGCTTGTTGTTCGGAAACTAGGTCAGACATAGCGTTGTTTTACTGTGAAATTCGTTTGAGTTGGTTGATTAAAATCTGGGATAGGGGAATTAATAATAGGGTACCTTCGTCCCGGTGTTGTTATTTACCAGTTGAACATATCCAGCTCTGTGCTTTCGGACGTAAAAATATAAGGTATATATAATCCCGAATTGATCGTGCACTGCACTAAAATATAATACTTTAAAGAGCTTTTCCATAAAGCACATGCTGACGTTTATCTAACTGACAATAGGTTTTTCCTTTTTGAGAACATGCAACAATATCTAGCATAAATTATGTATCAGTTAAGATATGCGGAAATTATTTTTCTTTAGTACATTTACAAGTCCTACGCGACTCCAGCGTAACACTTTTGTAATATATATGAAATTTTCTAAGTAGGCTTGCGAACACACAAGCAATCAGATGGGGCATTTTGACTAATGAATGATATAGAACGCCGTTTTTCTAATGGAGCCAAATCATCCCCATTCATTGGTGAAGAGTTTCTATGTTATTATTATATATATATTTTCTATCGGTTTTAGTTGAAGGTTATAGAATACATATGCACAAAGAGTGTTTCACTCATGGATAGTGAGCGCAGTGATCCTGACGTTCCGTCTTTTAGCTTGAAATCCATTGACTACGTTCGCCAAAGCATACCTGTCATCTCGGCGTTGCGCGCAGGGAGTTTCTGCTGCTGGCGCTGATGCTATTTAAGGGCGACGAAGGAAAGCTAGAGTGACAGCTTGGGTCAGGTCGACGTAGAAGATCAGGCTATTTTAAGGATAAGAATCGGAGCAGGACGTTTTCTCAAGAATGTTCATTAGTCCAAGACATTTTATCCACATGCCAGTGGTCCGGTTTCGTATCCTCTTTGGAGACAGATTGAACTGGATGCGGTTTCATTGCACTCTGTCGATACTAGCTCGTGTTGAAGTTACTTTGAATCAACGATATCGAGACATGGCACGTTGTAGCTGAAGGTAGATTGTGAAAAAAATCACAGTGTCCTTCGCGTGACTGGTAAACCGAAATGAGTCTGGTTTTTATGAACGAACGTCGTAACACTTGATAATCTACTGACAATTACACGACACCTGTATGCTACTTATTTTTTTCTATAATTTTCTTGCTATATGTTTTCAAAGAACTGCTACGATTACAAACTTCAGCTACGATTTACTTACAGAATCGAGGTATCTAATAAAAAAGAAAGCAATATTTAGTTGGAATTGCATCAGCGTTTTACGGATTCACTTTAGAATTATGTCAGAAATTTACTTTTAGATCGAAATGAAGCAAATACTATATAAGAACTGTTACGTTACGTTTTTATATAGTTCTTGGATTAGTCTGCGGGTATCTTATGCATAAGTAAGTCCTGATTGATAGCGGCTGTTTTTCCAAGACATTTTCTGCGACATAATATAGTAACTCTAATAATATAAGTAAGTGGCCATGTCGTAAGTTGAAAATATTTAAAACTGCAGCAATGATATAAAAAGGTCTCTTGCAGGTAAACAGGCGTGCTGGTTGTGCCTGAAGGCAGCAGATTTGTCGTCGTAAAAGAAATCATAGGCTCTTCGTACTCTTTGAGGGTACTATTGCTAGACGTCTGGGCATGGGAAACATTTTATTAGAGCATCATGAGCCGGTTATTGCGTAGTAGATATCGGCTGT